AACATGTGGTGTTTTTTAACATTTTGACTTGGAAATGTTCTTCGCGCCACAACAGCGTGCACTTTTTCGACATCTCAACTTCCAAAAGTGGTCCGAGCATGGTGTGTTTTGCACATTTTGACTTCGAAATGTGCTTCGCGCCACAACGGCGTGCACTTTTTCGACATCTCAATTTCCAAAAGTGGTCCGAGAATGGTGTGCTTTGTACAGCTTGACTTCGAAAAGTGCTTCGCGCCACAACGGCGTGCACTTTTTCGACATCTCAACTTCCAAAAGTGGTCCGGACCTGGTGTGTTTTGTGCATTTTGACTTCGAAATGTGCTTCGCGCCACAACGGCGTGCAAGTTTTCATTTCTCATCTGGCCAGATAGCTCTGCACCCGCCGCTTTAGCGAGCCAGCTCTTCGACCGTCGGGAGCCACAAATCATTGGAGAAACACAGTGAATCGCGACTTTTCTACCTTTTCGCGCGCGTGGCATCTTCTTTCTTCTCACTCTTTCTCTTCTCTGAATTTCTCTGATCTTCTCCCTTCTGCTCTTTTCTTCACTTCTCTGACTCTCCCCACCTCTGCTTTTCCATCTGTCCATAAATATTGTCGGAAGTTTGACTTCTAAACTTCCTTCGATGATTACACCATATGTGCAGTATATACTGTACCTATAAGAGGACGTATAGATACGTACAGGTAGATCTAGTGGACAGCTCTGGGGTTTGAGCAAGTTTGCCGAATGCTTCCGTGTTGAGGTCCTGATCCTGATTACCTTGAGCAGGACTGAGGCCAGGTGCAGCAAATTGAGATCTAGATTTTGGATTTTAGTGCATTTGGGTTTTATGCCGCTGAACTTCAGAGTGTGTGTATGCATGTATGCGTGGGTTATCGGAGGTTGTTTTTATATTCTCTTTTTGTATCTTTTTGTCATGTCCGATCTCAAGATATCTTAATCATGATTTCTTCGCCCAAATTTCATCAATTCATTGCATCCTTAGCCTTCCATAGGGCCATTGCAAGTAACATTTGCTCTGACACATTCGAACAAATCTCAAAGTTGGTCACCCCACTTCGCGCGCAGGCGACCTTAGGTGATCGACTGTTTGAGAATGCTTTGGTCTATGCGAATCGAAGCTTATATGGACCGTTCATCCGTCAGATGGTAAACGGGACATTGCCCAGAGCTGCTTTCAAATACTACTTGCGCCTTGGCCTGAAGACTGCAAGGCCACTGCTTAGTTTGAAGACATTTGATGACTGTCAAACCACATCACACAGCGTCAGACGAGGCACCAGGATAATCTCTACCTGAGCAAATATGCCCGCGCCTTCGGTGTCATGGGCGCCAAAGCTTCCAAAACTGACGAGCTCGCATGGCTTCTGAATAAGTCAGCGCCTTGCCTATATAAGCCTTGAGATCGGAGCAGTCTCTTCCTTTTCATCCCTCCTCCTTTTGTCCTTTGTATCATTAATTATTGTTGGTCCTGAATTGCCACCCTCCGAGAAATCTTGACACTCCAGAACTCTGGCGCTCATCACTTGATCCAAGTTAGTCACATCCCTGGGGTCTAGGTTGCAACTCTCAAGCGCATTGGTTGAAATGGATCGCTCGTCAGGTTGCGTTTCTGCATGAACATGGACGAGACAAAAACAATGCCCTGGATGAGGAAACCTTTGAGAAGGATGCTTCTGCGACTCGGTGAATAAGGACCGGCAAAGCCTGGAAGGGCCCCAAGTATAACACAACATCAAACATCATCCAGCGGGCCGCGCACGTACATTCAAAATGTGGATGTTTATAATATAGCTCTGTGAATTGCTCCGTCAATATTTTGAGGTTCTTGCTTCTACACTGTTTTTCTATTTTTTTCTATGCATTCCTTACAGACCCCTTATGGGGGCTTTCTGATGCCAGACTTGAAGGCTTCGCTCTCCTCTTTGCAAGACGTAGACGCAAGTTGTATTATGTGAGCCAGAGAGGTTATCATATATTGTCAGTATCATAGCATACCATAGGTCTGTGAATTCTGGCGAGTTCTTGTAATCACAAGCTCAACGCAGTGTGTGATAATAGTCATTCATTGTCTATGTCAGCACACTTGTTCGGCTTCCCAGACTGGCCATGGCCCCTTAATAAATTTTCCTTAAGCTGTGCCCCTTGTCCGCATCAATGTTCGAGTATAGAATATGTCCTTTACAACCCCCCATTCCAAGGGCCCCAAGCTCACCGAAGCAAAATCCCGTCAAGAGCCTCCTTGCACAAACCTTGATTGCCACCGCGCTAGCGATTTACTGGATGCTGCACTTGTTCATGGCCCCTATTGCTAAGATTGCTAAGGCTACTACGGTGGCATACACGTCTTTTTTCTCGGAAGCTGCATGGAGCGAAGACATGCTTCTGGCGTATGCGTCAGTGTTGCCATGCCAACGACTCTACGATTGGCTTTTCTCAACCATTCATCGGCGTGAGCATATTTCTGATGAAAATCCATACAAAGAATTTATCACACAGTTCCTCGGCATTGGAAAGTCTATATGATTTTGAGGCCCCGATTGGCAGCCAGGCTGGTCAGAATAGCAGACCATATGCCACCATTTAATACCATTTAATGTTTAGCGCAACTTGTTTGTGTTGTAAAACTCGCAGCCTTGGGTTTAAACTTGATCGGTAGGTTTCCCGAATGCGTAGCAAGGGTTCCCGTTTCATTCTGGGGGTCTGGGGGTTGAGGGTGTCTTCGCTCGACATTGCCCAACCGTCCGCAACCGTTCGCAACCGTCCGCGGGCGACCGTGTGAGGCCCGTACGGCCGTGCCTATGGTAAGTTCTGCAAAAAGGGTCACTTTGGAGGTTGCGCATGTCGCGTTGCTTCGTTTCGCGTGGCAGGCGTGACACTTTTCGTGACATTCAGACGTGTTTTGTAACGTGTCGAAAGTATCCCCGTGGCAATTTCCACTCTAGAACTGGTGAACCTGTGCATAGTTTAAACGAAATTCTTAATGTATTGGAATTTTAAAATTGATGTCAGGCTAGTCATTTTATTGTTGGGGGGTTGGGCTAAGCATTTTATTGTAAAGGTAAATCTTGATGATTTTTAACATGTTAAAATTCCATTCTCATTTTATTGCAAAAAAATGTTTGCTTGGAGCATTTTATTGCAGAATGGAACCAGTGTTTTTCCAGGATCTTTTTATATCGATGTTATTGGGCATGTCATTTTAGATCAGCGAATTTTAAGGAATTTGAAGGAATTCTAAGGAATTTTAAGGAATACGAAGGAATTTTAAAGGAATTATAAGGAATATTAAGGAATTTTAAAGGAATTATAGGGAAATTTAAGGAATTTAGAGAATTTTAAGGAATTTTAAGGAACCTTAGAGGATTTTTAAGGAATTTAAAGGAATTTGACGGAATTTGAAGGAATTCGGAAGATTTTTTAAGGATCTTTAATGTTTTTAAATTTTAAAGGATATTTAAGGTTTTTTAAGGTTTTTTTTGGAATTTTAAGGAATTTAAAGGATTTTAAAGGATTTTTAAAGAATTTTAAGGAATTGCCACGAAAGAATGCCACCGTATTTTGTTGCTATAGAATGCTATTAAAAAAAAAACTCACTAAATATTTGGGCACCTTCACTCTAAAATACCCCTATCTAAAATGGATTTCCTGACCTCTTTTTAAAGATGCGTTTCTGCGGGTCTTCAAAATTGGATGAAATTGGATGATGTTGGATGCACATTCAAGCATGAATTTGGTGGCAAGGCATTTTATTGCAGAGCCAGTTTTCATTGTTTTTGTGCATTTTAAAGCCTGAGGCCTATGCACAAAAGTTAGACCGCTCTAAAACTCCTGCAAAACTTCACATAATGAATTGGCACCCCGATTCGAAAGTCGTTTTTGTGTGGCAGGGGCAATACTTTTGCATCTTTTGCGACGTTTTCAGAAGCGTTGCAGTTAGTTTTCGTGGCAGGCGCAGCACTTTGGACGTGACGTGTCCATCGCCTTTTTTTTTGTGGCAGTGTCGTGTTTTTTGCGAATCGCATTGTCAGGGCTGCGTCAAGTGGCGACAAGGTGCAAGTTCCGTGGCAAGCGTTGCATTTTGTGAGACGTGGTGAAAATTGACACGAAACATCGATTTTGAGGTAGCAAATTTAAAGGTTCATAAGAAAACTCGTAGGAAACATCGATTTTGACGCTACAAATTGGAGGAAGTCTCGCACGAAATGCTCGTTTTAATGCTCCCACGTGTCTCGTCTCGAGTCTTTGCTTTTCCTGTGGCCTCGCCGTGTCTATGGGGGAAGCTGCAAAACCTCTCCTTTTCGAAGGTTTCCAAGCAATTTGTCATGTTGTTTTGCGTGGCCGGCGCGGCACTTTGTGACATTCCAACATGTTTGATAACGTGGCACTCCACACTCTAGACTTCACACTCCACACTCCACACTCTACACTTTACACTCCACACTCAACACTTTACACTCCACACTTCACACTCCACACTCTACAATGTACACTCCACGCTCCGCGCTTCACGCTCTACACTCTACACTGTACACTGTGCACTCCACACTCTACACTTTACACACCACACTTTACACTCTACACTTTACACTCTACACTTTACACTACACTTTTTATTCCCCACTCTACTTTACAATCTACACTTTACACTTCACACTCCACACTCTACACTCTACACTTTCCACTTCACACTCTGCACTCCACACTCCCCACTCTACACTCCACACTCCACACTTGACACTCCGCACTCTACACTTTACAGTCCGCACTCTACACTTTACACTCTACACTTTAAACTCCACACTTTACACTCCACACTCCACACTTTACATTCCACACTCTACGCTTTACACTCCACACTCCAGACTATACACTTTACAATCCACACTCCACACATTACAGCCTACACTTTGCACTCTACACTTTACACTCCACACTTTACACTCCACACTCCGCACTCTACACTCCACACTTTTACATTTTACACTCCACACTTTACAGTCCACACTCTGCACTCCACACTGCGCACTCTACACTCTACACTGCACACTCCACACGTCACGCTCCACGCTCCACACCTACACTTTACACTCCACACTCCACAGTTTACACTGTACACTCTACACTTTACACTCCACACTCTACACTCCACACCTTAAACTCCACACTGTACACTCCACACTTTACACGCTACACTTTGCACTCCAACTCCACACTCTGCACTCCACAGTTCACACTTTACACTCCACACTCCACACTGCAAACTTTGCACTCCACACTTTACACTTCACACGCCACACTTTGCACTCTACACTCCGCACTCTGCACTGCAGACTCCACACTTCACGCTCCACACTCTACACTTTACACTCCACACTCGACACTACACTTTACACTCCACACTCCACACTCTACACTTTGTATCCACACTTTACACTCCACACTTTACACTCCACATTTTACTCCACACTGTACACTCCACACTTTCCACTTTACACTTTGCACTCCACACTTCGCACTCCACCCTCTTCCACAGTCTACAGTGCACTGGTACGGTAACAGGGGAAGCATGCACAAAAATGTTCAATTAATCTTGTTTCACAAAAAGTGTTCTGCGTGACTGCATTCGGGTTCGTGGGATGCATCTTGTTTTCACCTTTTCTTCCAGTCAGTACACCCTCCAGCGAAGTCAAAACTTCATGCTAAATTGCCGAAAGACTATCAAAAAGTTGGATTTCGCGGAACGGTTTTTAGTTTGGCCAAACTCAAGGTTTGGGTTTAGCCTTGTGGCCCCTGGCAACAAGTTGTGAAAATTATGCAAGCATCTAAAAGGCGTTTATTGGCTCGGAGAACTCTTCTTCCGTTCCCGCTTTCGGTGCTAGGAGAGAATGGAGGGAATGGAGAGAATGTTTCGGGACATGCAATTCTGCATAAAAATTATGAGACATGATTTTGAACCCAAAATAGTAGAAATATTACGACCCCTATACCACCACTGTATAGTATTAGTTCACTCCATACTGTAGCTATGACACCGACACTCTAATAGATTGTACAGTCATCGTAATCACCACGCAACCTCCAACTAGATGCGTTAGTTGTAGGTGTAGCCATGTAGATAGATTAGGAATTGACCCCCTCCTTTAATCCAGCAGGGTTGGTCATAGTAGCCTAACGTAATTTACCTGGCTCAAGCGTCCCATAGCAAAAGGGGGCGCTTGCATGATTTTGAGGCAAGGGAGATTAACTGGTTTTGGTTTCTTGTTTTTCCCCTTGTTTCTCTGGTTATCAGCCGTATTGGCTTAGTGTTCTTTTGCTGGGAAAGTCTTAATCTCCCTTGTCGGTAACTTAGGCCCCACGCAACTTCGTTCACTACTCCATCATTTTTCGCTGATTCCTGTTTCACTGTTTCATGGTACCAGAGGGTCTGTTGGAAGAGGCTGCTTTGAGCGCCTCCGAACCGGTTGCTGACGGGAACCCGGAAGCAGAGGCGGAAGCCGCTGAAAGCGCTGAAGTCGCTGTTGAAGGTAGTACTGGATTCAACTGGGCAGACGCCTCTGAAGATGCGCCCGAGCTGACAACTGACCAGGTGGACGTGGGAGGGGCTGCAAGTTGCGCCCCAGGCGACGAGGAGGACTTCGACATCTTGAAGTTCGACGCACTTTCATTGCTCGACCCAGTCAAACCTGAAGAGGTCACTGCTGAAGAGTTATTTGAGGCACTCGAAGCCGAACCCACTGTTCCGTCCGATCAAGCTGCAGCATCCGGCTTAGTTGAAGCAGATACCAATCTCGAAAATAATAACCCCGAAAATCAAATTCCAAAAGAAGAAGCTGATTTTTCTAATAACCCTGATCAAGAAACTAGTGCTGAGGTTGCAGACTCCGCTGCAGATCCGATTGTAGGAAGCTCTCCATCCGTAGTTGAGCCAAATCCTAATTCGACATTTGCTCCGGTATACGTCCAACACCTTGGAGGGGTAGCGGAAGAGGACGAAGTCCCGCCGCCCCCAACATCACCATTTCTTGAGCAGGAAGGGGCTGCCGCAGGCGCCTCAACATCTGGGCACGTCCGAACAGGCCATTCTCCTGCAGGGCCGTCCAGAGGTCCCCGTGTACGTGGTACTAAAGGCGGGAAGAAAGCCCAGACTAAGAAGCTCATCCAGCGTTGGCAATCCGACTTTGATCGCTTAGCTGATTTTCTTTGGAACGAGGCAGAATTCTGGCTCAGGTACGTCCACCACTCAGAAGCATCCGCTGAACTGATCTGGACTGTCCGTGTCTTTAGAGTCCTCTACAACCATTGTACGCTAAATCAAATCTTAGTCCATCTTGCTAATACCTTTGCCCCTTATAGGAATTGGGTTTTTACCAACGGTTATCGAAGAGGTGAATTGCATCTTGCTCCAGATACAGCTGCAAATACTGTTTTACCCGATAGGGATCACATTAACTTGCAAGCTTTTGGGGACCCAGATCCACCTAGATCCGTGTGGGAC